TTCATCTATTTGTTCATCTCTCTGTCCATCCATCCATCCATTAATCTATCAATCCCTTCATCCATTTATCTATTCATCCATTCACACATCCATCCATTCATCCATGTATTCATTCATTCATTCATTCATCCATCAACACATCTGTCTGTCCATTCATCTGTCTATTCATCCATCCTTCTATCTACCCATCCATTCATCCATTTATCTATTCATCCATTCACACATCCATCCATTCATCCATGTATTCATTCATTCATTCATTCATCCATCCACACATCTATCTGTCCATTCATCTGTCTATTCATCCATCCTTCTACCTACCCATACACCCATTCATTCATCACACATCCATCCGTCCATCCATCCATCCATCCATCCATCCATCCATCCATCCATCCATCTATTCATTTATCTATTCAACCATCCACACACCCATCTGTTCATCTATTCATTCATCTGTTTGTCCATCCATCCATCCATCCATCCATCCATCCATCCATCCATCCATCCATCCATACATCCATATATCCATCTATCAATTTATCCATTTATCTATCCATCCACACATCCATCCATCCATCCATCCATCCATCCATCCATCCATCCATCCATCCATCCATCCACCCATCCATTCATCTATCTGTCCATCCATCCATCTGTAAATTCATCCATTTATTCATCTATCCTCCCAACCATTCATTCATCCATTTATCTGAGGTGGGAAGGAAGCAGGCTCTTGTTAGTATGAAGTGCATTGAGGGGAAGTGTGGGATGCTCTATCACTGGGTTTTTCCCTGCCTGATTTTGGCCAAGTGAAAAAGAAATATTTTTCTTTTATCTACTCTGAATATATCTACTTGTTTCCGTTTCAAATCTTCAAATTCCTCTACCTCATTCCCCTTCGATGCAATAAGAAAAAGGTCTGAATAAGGAGGGAAGAGGGTGATATAACTAAGAAAATAATTGATACAACAAAAAATAATGAATACAACAGAACAAATCAATCCAGAGCTAATATCTTGTGCTATGACCTAGTCGCATTTTGATATTTTTCCTCTATTTTAAAAGAAAGAATAACTGCAAGAGAGGAATAAATCATTTTCTACAATTAAAAGTTAGTAGGTGGTGATAAATGAAATGAAAGCCCAAGATATTTTTCCTAATTAAATAAAATGGAAATAAGACTTTAATCACAGGATATCTGAGAATCCTGACACACTTTTAGTTGGGATTATGAGCTCTGAGCCTCATTAGTTTGCTGTAATCTTCTGAAGGTGATTAATTAAACAATATGATTATGAATTCATAGATTTAAACATGGTAAATGTATTTCAGTCCATTGCAGTCTTTATTTATTTGTTTATTTTATTTTTTTGATACTCAAATGATCCCATCTGTGATCAGTGGGCACTTATTCATTTAGAATTCCATATTCTTTTAAAAATTAACTTTTTAATTTTGAGGCAGTTGTAGATTTACATGCATTTGTAAGAAACAACAAGGAAAGATCAGTGTACCCTTCACTGGGTTTCCTAATGATAACATCTCATGAAACTACCTATAATGCAGTATCACAAAGAGGATTCTGCCATTGATACAGTTCACTTGTCTTCTGATTTCCCCAGTTTTACTGTGTGTGCATGTGTGTATTCAGTTTTATGCAGCCTTAGCACCTGTGTAAGTTTGTGTATTCATCATCAGCACTGAAGCAGAACAGTCACATCACAGCAGATTCTCTTGCTTTATCTTTCATAACCACAGCCGTTAATTCCTACACCACTCCCCACCAAGTCGCCGATCCCTGCCAGCCACCAATCAGTTCTTCATTTCTATAATTTTGTCATTTCTATATTGTTGTATACATGGAATTATACAGTATGTATAATTTGGGATTGACTTTTTAAACTTAGCATAATTCCCTAGAGTAGTATCCATGTTGTGCAGATATCAGGAGTTCATTCATTTTTATTGCTGAATAACATTACCTGGTATGCATGGTCCACAGTTTCTTCAGCCATTTACACACTGTGGTACATCTGGATTGTTCCCAGCTTTTGGTTATCGTGTCTTCTGTTTCTCTTATCTTGCCTTCCTGTGGATTACTTAAACATTTTTGAGCATCCTCACCCTAAAACATGATTTTAGGATACTCATCCTAAAAAATGATTTATTGATACTGTCTTTGAGTGTATCTTTTTGTATGATGTTCTTACAAAGAACATCTGGCTCTAGATATTACAATATAGACATACATACATGGCTTATCACAGTTCATTGGCATTGAGATTTTGCCACTTCAAGCCAGGTGTGGAAATCCACTTCGACTTAGGTCCCTTTACCTTCTCTGCTTTTAAATATCATCATCTTGACTACCAGATGGTGTTATCATTTATGTTTTAATCATCAAATACATTTCATAAAACTCATGGAAAACAGTATAGTCTGTTGCATTCACCCACATTTCTGCTCTTTCTGTTGTTTTTTTCTTCCTTCTCAATTCTCGAAGATTCTTTTTCATATTTTCATTTTTTTAAACTTTTTCTTCATCTGAGAATGTCTTTATTTTATCTTCATTCCTAAAAGATATTTACATTAGATTCAGAATTCACTATGACGATTCTTTTCTTACATCGTGATAAATGTTAGGCTACTTTCTTCTGGCTCCCAGGGTTTCAGATGAGAGATTTACTAACCTTTGAGTGGGTGTTCCCTCGAGGTAACATGTCATGGTTCTCTGGCTGCTTTAAAGCTTTTATTGTGTTCAGATTTTAGAAGTTTAATTATGGTGTGGTTTAATGTAGATTTCTCTCAGTTTATCATATTTAGTGTTTGCTTAGCTTTCTGAGTCTGTAGGTTTTTGTATTTCTACAGTGTTAGGAAGTTTTTCAGCCATTTTTTCCTCTCGTACTCTTTCAGTTCCACTCAGTTTCTCTTCTCTTTCAGAGAGTCCAATGACACCAATATCAAAATTGTTATTATTGTCCTACGGGTACTTGAAGCTCTGTTCACTTTCCTATCAATCTCCTTTCTCCCTGTTGCACAGATTGGGTGCCACACACTGATCAGCTCTCAGGTTCAGTGGTTCTCTCCTCTGACATCTCCATTCTTCTACTGAGACCATCTAGCGAGTTCTTGTATTTGCGTTATTGCATTGTTCATGTGGTATCCATGTGGTTCTTTTTTATAACTTCTTTTTCTTCATTGAGATTTTCTGCTATTTTGTTTGCTTCAAGACAATTTACAATTGCTTGTTGAAGCATTATTTTATTCATGATGGGTGCTTTAAAATACTAGCCAGGTCACTCCAATATCTGATTTGTCTCAATATTGGCATCAATTGATTGTTTTTCTTAATTCAAGTTGTCTTTTCTTTGGTTATTTTTATAATGGGTGTTTTTCAGTTGTATCATGGGTATTTTGAGCAATATAATAGGAGACTTTGAGCCCTATGTAAAAATCTTTTATTTTTGTGGGTAGTTGTTGTACTTAGGCTTAACGCACAGATCTTGGCCCACTTTGTGTGCTGTGGTTCCAATAAGAGTTTAATTTTGGTTTATCTGATGCATCAGGGACTCCCTGATGCTGCTGTATGAAAGGACAGATGAGATTTCTCCAGTCCAACTGCCTCCATGTTGGGGAGATGAGCCTCCAGCAGTTGGAGAAGAAGGGGACTTCTTAGGATCCAAGGTCTTTGTTGCTTCAGGAGGCATCCTGCTGTGGGGTAGCCAGTGTTTTCAGGCCAGGTCACTTGTCATTGTGGAATACTCCTTGCGCTGTCTCCTGGGTGTTTGTTGTGATTCCTCTACCCTCAGGGGAAGAACAACCATTTCCCTGGCTGTTCATTATCAGTGTCATCCCAGCTGATCCCCTCTTTGGTGTTGCAGAGCCAGCTTGGTTTGTTGAAAGGACTCCTGGTCCCTCCAGAGAGGCAGCCAAGTTAGGCTACCTTCTGTTACTAGAATGTTAGAAACGTGAGGTCTTCTGGGTGGGGAATTTAATATGTGTGTGTGTGTGTGTGTGTGTGTGTGTGTGTGTGTGTGTGTATTCTTCATTTGTAGTTTTAAAATATTTTACAGATCTTCTAAATTTGTTGCATTAATAATGTTATTCAACCTTTTTAACTGGTATAGCTGGTGTTCACTGAGTATTTACTGTGTACCAGGCCTGGTGCCAAGGTATTGGAATACTAATTTGTCTTAATACTTACAAGAATCTTTATCCCTGTTTTTATTGAAGGCTGAAGCTGAGACTTCAAGGTTTTTCTCTGTTTGCTGTACTGGCTGCTTTTCAGCTCCTGTGCCGCTGTGAGGGTCTCCTAGTGACCCTAGGGAGATGTGGTTAGACTCTGAAACCCTCCTTAAACATTGTCCCTTTGGCATTTAGACTGCTTTCAGTATTAAATGTAATAATATTGCAATAGACATCTTCATGGAAATAGCTTTATATTTTATTTAAACTATTTCCTTAGGATAGAGTCCTTTTATCTTGAGAGAGTAAAGCATGTGCATTTTTTATGGATCAGTGACTGTATTTTTCTGATACCAAATTACTTTATAAAAGTCTTATGCCAGTGTACTCTGCCAGCAGCAATAAATGAAAAAATATACCAGTTTTATTCTATCCTCAATAGTGTTGGGTACCATAAAACAAGTAAGTATTAGTTGAGAATGTATTTTTGAGGAAGAAATGTGGGCAAGCATTGATTAATTAGGTCAGTATATATTGGGGACATAGGCTCTACCCAGCAGTGACTCTAACACTGGCGAGACAGGGTGAACAGGCAGGTAGCCCCTGGATGGACAGAGTCAAGGAGAGAGGTCTCAGAGAACTCACCTGTGATATGAGGACATTGGAACTTTTCATGTTATTGAGGAAGGCATCAACTGGCCCACAGGCAGATCTTTGCTCTGGTGGCCATGTCACATACCATCCTTGTTGGAAGATTTACCTTAATATAACAGCTGAATAAGAGACATATCCAAATATGCTTGATGTTGCAGGCTAATTCCACCTTTTATATTGTGGACAAGCTAAAAGCTTTATCAGAAACACTGCTGGAAATGTCCAGCCTTTTCCAGAGAAGTGGAAGTGGCCAGATGTTCAACCAGCTGCAGGTGAGTGGTTGGTCTCTGTCACCGAGGGATAGGGAGCTACTGCTAGGGCATGTCCGAGACATCAGGGCTGCCCTGTAGAAGATTCTACAGAGTCACATCAGGCATGGTGGTTCTAGTTGACTCATATAATTGACGTAAAATTAGAGATGTGTGAAAACATTTTGTGAATTTTCAGTATTTTACCCATGCAAGATGGTATCATCGTGAGAATGATTAATAATTTGTTAATAGTAACCTGTTCTTTAAATTCTGTATTAAGCTTAATGCTTTTTAGATTGTTTGCATACTTTTGAATTGTAGGTCTATTCAACAATCAATGATAATTTCCTCATATTCTGTATTGACAACTTAATATTTTAAAAAGGAACAATTTACAGTTTAGAATGGCCTAACTCCATTAGACCCTGACAATCATTAATGTAAAACTTTAATTCAGGTAGATCACCTAATAATTTTTTGGGCATTTGTGTAACTTCAGCTTACCTTAACTCTGATAGGATGAGAAAATATGCCTGCATTTTAATTCATGTTTAATTTTTCATTAACCACCAGGTAAGTAGTTCAGAGTACGGACTCAGGAGCTAGAATCATTTGAGTTTGATTCCCAGCTCAACCCCTGCCACCAGTTGTGTGATCCTGGACTAGTCACTGAAATTCTCTGTGCCTTAGGTTTCTTCCCTGAGAAATGAAGAAGTGATAGTAGTTATGAGGTATAAATGGGTCAGGATACATAGAGCCTTTGGAGTAGGTTTTGACACAGAGAAAATGCTACTGGGTGAGTCTGAGTTTTCCAAGAAACAGATGCCAAGACAGGATTACATGTGCAATAATTTTATTTTGGGAAATGGCTGCTGAGCAAAGGAAGAGGAAGCTAGACAGGCTGGAAGCAAGGTTGTCAATGGTGATGCAAGTCTGACCCTGAGGAAAGCAGAGAGGGAGAGGGTCGGGTGGAAGCATCCTGGTGGACCCTGCAATTTAATGGACATCAGATAAGGCTGAGAGGGAGTCACAGAGCTAAAGTCAGTTATCAAGGTAGGGGTCCCATGTCAGTGGAGTTCTGTGGCTTCTGGGAGTGGGCCTGATGTGGTGGTCATTGGTGAGGGACAGCCCATGGGAGACATGGCCTCAGGGCAAAGTGCCATGGATTCAGAGTGCAGCAGTGGGACCTGCCATTTCCGTTTCCTGCAGTTGGAGGTCTGCGATGTTCATTCTCACAGCGACCATGGCCATATGTATTAGCTAGTATTGTAATCTTCTTTAATTTGCTTGTGCATGGATTAATCTGTTAATACAGACATCAGTGAACCTTTGCAGTTAATGGGACAGACAGTGTTTTAGACTGGATAAGGTCTCTGCTGCAACTATATATATTGTGTGCAATAACATATCACACAATATCATAAGCACCAAGTCGAGAGTATACAAAGATCTAGGAGAACATAAAGCAGTGCCTAACTCGGTCTCAAAAATTGGGCAGCTCCTTGTGAAGTCTATAGTGTACCTGAGTACTAAGTGGCCATGTCAGAAATCAAAGTCACATGTCCAACCAATTGAAGAACTTATCTTCCATAGGATAAGACGGTGTAAATTGTTCCTCTATTTCTTAGCTTTGGGATCATGCTCAAGGGAACTTGCAGTGCCTTGGGTTTGTAGTAGTCGATGTCTATGTTCCAGGCCTGATTCCGCCACTAGATGGAGTGGTTAGAGCCTCTGGGTAAAGCCCTAACTTTGCTGTGCTTCCCTGCTCCATCAGTAAAAGACAACAGTAACCTCACGGGGATGTTGTTGAGATTAAAAGACATGATGCATAATAGCTGCCCTGCACATTGACTGGCAAATAGCAAATGCCCAGTGAAGGAAGATAAATAAGATTCCAAAAAAGAAAAGCAAACACCAAACTTTCATAATAAAGTCTTGTCATCCTTAGACAAGATTAGTTAAAACCATCAGATGTAGGCCGGGCGCGGTGGCTCAAGCCTGTAATCCCAGCACTTTGGGAGGTCGAGACAGGTGGATCACGAGGTCAGGAGATCGAGACCATCCTGGCTAACACGGTGAAATCCCGTCTCTACTAAAAAATACAAAAAACTAGCTGGGCGAGGTGGCGGGCGCCTGTAGTCCCAGGTACACGGGAGGCTGAGGCAGGAGAATGGCATGAACCTGGGAGGCGGAGCTTGCAGTGAGCTGAGATCCAGCCACTGCACTCCAGCCTGGGCGACAGAGCGAGACTCCATCTCAAAAAAAAAAAACAAAAACCAAAAAAACAAAAAAACATCACATGTAATAAGGTGAATGTGAGAAATAAAAGAGCTAATTACAAAGGATACATATTATTTGAGAATTCTTGTCTGGAGCTCCCGTGTTATCAGGTTATGTGCTGGACCAAAATCTGGATAGCATACAAATATTCTCTAAGAAATTGGCAAATTCCAAAATTAATTCCCAGTCATTGATCCTGAGGCAGAGCCTGGATACATCAGCATCTTTCCCTCTCAGCTTCTTGCTGGTTTTTGTATGTCGTAAGTGTGGGGCAGTGCAATGCAAGTACATGGATATCATTGGCAAAATAAAGGGGCAAGATGTCATTAAGTTGATGAAAAAATCTTGGAGAACTCTCCACAGTAAACGATTTGTCTCCAATCATTGACAAATGAGGCAAAGTCACAACCATCAATAGTAATGAAAGAATAATGGTACAGATGAAGCAATGAAAGATGTTTCTGAAGATGAGTAGCAAAGCATTGAGAGAGGGTTTGGGAAATTCTGAAATCCTTCCTCAGAGTTTTTATAATGATGACCCCCTCTTTATAACTGGCCTCTGAGGAAGGCCATGCAAAGGAAAGGAAAGAATCGTATAGAAAGTAAAAGATCACTATATAGGTTCGTTAGAAAATTTTGCCAAAAACAAACCACTTAATTCATTCTTTGTTTTTAGTATTAATACAAAATTACAACTACAACATAAATTTTTGTAATTGTTGATTTTGTTTTTCAAGGTAAAGTCCTAATAAGATGTTATCCCGTTATTTATTGTGGTGTTTTAAAACTTCTTTTAAGTGGATTCAGTTTATATGCCTTGTTCCTTTGTAATGAAACTTTGAATAAGTCTAATAGGTATTATTCAATAATATGAAATAATGCAATTATTTTTGTTAAGCTATGTTATTTTTCTTTAGGAGGCCCTGAGAAACAAATTTGTAAGAAACTTTGTAGAAACGCAGTTGCACATTGATGTAGACAAACTTACTGAAAAACTCCAGACATACGGTAAGTATGCTGATGGATGTGGTAGTGTTCTTCTGCCTAAATGGCTCTGCCACTTAGGTGGGTCCTCCCCCTTGGGCCATGACATTGCTAAGTGACTTCCAGCAGGTCGCTTTTCCTCTCTCAGTTTCTATTTTCCTATCTGGATCCTGAAGGGCTTGAACTAAATACACCCCAAAGTTTGTTCATGCCTGAAGTTTTTTTGATTCACTGATTCAGGACTTAACTACTAAAGAACCTAGTTAAAAAGGAAGTTGTCTGATTCAAACACAAGAATTGTGAATTACAAAATAAGTTTATAAAAGAAATTATTATTATTGAGTTAAAAGTCACTTGAAAGCCATTGCATAGATTTGAAAATGAGAAACTCAGATAAAAACATTACATATCAGTAAACATTTATTGTACCTCTGCGATTGATGAATCTGTGAATTCATTTAGGTGTTTAACAAACATTTGCTGGACACACAAGGAAAGCCAGTTCCATGAAATAATCTAGAAGGGTGTAAACTATTCCTGTTCCACCATGCAGTGCAGAGAAGAAGATGACTATGCTTAGAAACTGCAACACCGTGGCAAAATCAGCAATCAGGGCCCTGCCAGAGAAACTCTCAGCAGCCTAACCCAGTTGGCAGGGACCTGGAGTCAGAGGAAGGATGGGTGTCAGGCTGTTCCAGGTCCCTGACTCCATCACACTCTGCTTGTGCATGAGAAAGGGTTTCGGATCTGCCTTACGTATGAAAGTCAGAAGAAGGCAAGACAGTTTATGAGACATAATATAGTACTTCCCTTTAAAACAATTTCTGGTGAATGTGATACTTAATACCACTTCAGAAAGGTTAATCATATTTTAAAATGTTTTGTATTTTAAATGCATTACATAATTTTTTTCAACTAATTAAAACACCTTTAAAAAAAGAAGTAGCACTGGAAAGCTTATAACAGTGTCCCCATCTTCTGTTGCTGGAGCCAAGGACTTACATGGGTCCGAGAGATCCTGTGTGGAACACAGATGTCTCCTGAGTTTGCATCTACCGTGGTGCTAGTGTTAGTGCAGATGTCTTAGAGTGTGAATTGTACCTGAGCCACGTTTGTTCAACACGTTGCTGCTTAGCCGACACTACTTTTGAATAGGTTTTCCCACATGTAAGCTTCCATTGTAAAATTAAGAGAAAGTTCCCTAGAAATTTAGAACTTTTCCTACGAGTGTGTTGGGACACAGAATATGAGATTCACATGGAATTTTGAGATCCATGAAGTGTGATCCTCTCTTCTTTCTCCTCCTGCCTGATGCTGGAGGTTGAAGACCATCTCATCCAGGTGAATGTTGGTTATTTTCTCCCACCCTGTACAGCCCTCCAGGAGCAGGCACAAAGTGGGGTCAGGCGTTCACGGGTGGGGTGGTGGTGGGGAATTGATCACTGACTGGATGCAAATCTCCTTTTATAACTTAGCTAACAAATGAACTCACCTTACTGCATGCACCCTTTTAAAATTTATTCCTATGTCATACTCACTTTTCTTCATCCTATAATCAGTATCTGGAAACTGAGGTGACTATTTGAAGATATATTGATGCAACTTCTGGGAATATTTGCCTAATCATGCTGTCATTTTTATTCATTATCTAACTTTTATTTTATTTTTATTTTTTTGAGACAGAGTTTTGCTCTTGTCGCCCAGGTGGTAGTGCAATGGCGCAATCTCGGCTCACTGCAACCTGCGACTTCCAGGTTCAAGCACGTCTCCTGCCCCACTCTCGCCAGTAGCTGGAACTACAGGCACGCACCACCATGCCCGGCTGATTTTTGTATTTTTAGTAGAGATGGGATTTCACCAAGTTGGCCAGGCTGGCTCAAACTCCTGACCTTAGGTGATCCTCCCGCCTTGGCCTCCCAAAGTGCTGGGATTATAGGCGTGAGCGCCTCTGAGCCTGGTCTCATTATATAACTTCAAAAAATAACTTTTTGCTTTATTACAAAAAGTATATATGTCCGTTGTAGAAACATTAGAAAATACAAATAAGCCAGAAAACAAATCCACCTATAATCTTATCGCCACAGATAGCTATTTTAAAAGCCTCAGAGTTCTTTTTTAGATGAATTTATATGTACTCATATGAAGATAAGTATATGTATTTTCACAAAAATGATTAAACTGTTCATATAATTTTGTTACCTGATTGCAAAAAATTAAGATTATTATAAAAGTTTTTTGTATCCATAAATATTGACTGTTACTAAGAAAAAGTCCCTTCATCTAGCTTTGCCTTCCATTTCACTCCATAGTATGAATTTAAACTTAGGAATTTCTTTAGGATTAGTCGTTACATATCTAACTGATATACCTGTGGTAGTATTTCTTGATTTATTTGTTACAGGAATTATCAATTGATTTCCTGTTCTGAAAGATGCAGATTTAGTTTTGTACTACATTATTTCCCTGATCAGTTGCTCCCACTATGCTAATATGACCATTTTAGTTGTCATAGAACAGTATGAGGAGATAAATGTTGTTCAGTGCAGAGCCAGGCTGTGCATTATAATGACATTCCGGTATTTACCATGTCTCCCTTTTCCCAGAGTTTTATGCTCTCTTGCTACTACATGAAACACTTGTTCTCCATTACTCCCACCTCCTGTGTGCCAACACATCATCTTTATGTTGAGTCCTTTTGTCTGTGCAAACGCCACCCAGACCCCCTACCACGCTCCACCTGAGCAGGCTGCCCGCTACTGCCAGCACCCGGCTGCTTTCCTAGGAATTCTCTGCTCTGCTGTCCTGCGGTGGATACCATGATTCCTGGGCTCTATGTCCTCCTTTTTGTTTTGTTGTCATGTTTTGTGGGTTCATATTAATCAGTGACGTCCTGCAAAAGAGAATGAGAGAAAAAATTCCTGAGTGATTTTACTCAGTAAAGTAAAATTACATCTGAATGATATGTGGAAATATCCCCTATTTCATTACCAATAATTTTGTATCTCTTCTTTCTCTCTCCTTTTTGCTTTTAATCAGTCTTGTCAGTCTTTTAATTAGTCTTTTATTTTATTTTTTTATTATACTTTAAGTTCTAGGGTACATGTGCACAACATGCAGGTTTGTCTCTTATACACATCTAGATGTGTATAAGAGACAGCTGTAGAGGTGTGGTATTATTTCTGAGGACTCTGTTCTGTTCCATTGGTCTATATCTCTGTTTTGGTACCAGTACCATGCTGTTTTGGTTACTGTAGCCTTGTAGTATAGTTTGAAGTCAGGTAGTGTGATGCCTCTAGCTTTGTTCTTTTGACTTAGTATTGTCTTGGCAATGCGGGCTCTTTTGTGGTTCCATATGAACTTTAAAGCTGTTTTTTCCAATTCTGTGAAGAAAGTCATTGGTAGCTTGATGGGAATGGCACTGAATCTATAAATTACCTTGGGCAGTATGGCCATTTTCACGATATTGATTCTTTCTATCCATGAGCATGGAATGTTCTTCCATTTGTTTGTGTCCTCTTTTATTTCACTGAGCAGTAGTTTGTCATTCTCCTTGAAAAGGTTCTTTACATCCCTTGTAAGTTGGATTCCTAGGTATTTTATTCTCTTTGAAGCTATTGTGAATGGGAGTTCATTCATGATTTGGCTCTTGAAAGTGGGATTACTAGGTATTTTATTCTCTTTGAAGCTATTGTGAATGGGAGTTCATTCATGATTTGGCTCTCTGTTTGTCTGTTAATGGTGTATAAGAATGCTTGTGATTTTTGCACATTAATTTTGTATCTTGAGACTTTGCTGAAGTTTCTTATCAGCTTAAGGAGATTTTGGGCTGAGACGATGGGGTTTTCTAAATATATGATCATGTCATCTGCAAACAGGGACAATTTGGCTTCTTCTTTTCCTAACTGAATACCCTTTATTTCTTTCTCTTGCCTGATTGCCCTGGCCAGAACTTCTAATCAGTCTCTTAAACACGATTACAACTTTTCACAGTGTTCAATACTTCTTATATCCTTTTCTATATATTCCAACCTAGTTTTTCTTTATGCTTTAGTATGTGATATTTTTTCTTACTAGTTTTTAAATTAACACATTCTCTCTTCAGCTGGGTCTAATCTGCTATTAAACATACCGATGAAGTTCTTCATTTAAGTTGTTGCATTTTCCACTTAAAATTTAAATTTTATTATTTTAGAATAGTTTTTAGCTCCCTGGTGAAAGTCTATTTTCATCTAATTTTGGACACAATAGTCACATTTTGGAAGTGCATGTTGTGAGCTTTAATACTTGTCTTTTGTGGGTATTTTTTAAGTCTATTTTTCTCTTGTTTTTTGGTTATTTTTCTTGCCTTGTCTCCAGGAATATTAAGGATTAAGAAAATCGAAACCAGATATTATAAATGGAAAATTGTAGAAATAAATTTGAGTCTCCTGATAGTGCTATCTTCCTCTAGATAATGTTATTTTCTGGCTTCTGGCAGAGAGCTAGGGCAGGGCCACGTTCTCCTAATCTAGTTGGGGATGGAGTGGATTGATGGAGGTACACTTCAGCCTTAGTAGGGAAATTTCCAGTTTCCTGTATTCCTGGATAGATGCCCTATTTGGGTGGGGTGGGGGGCCTCACCTATAAAACTGATATCAATTAGGGACCATGTAGATCCTGAGTTCAAAGTCCCATGGACCACTGGAGACTCAGCCTCTCAGTTTTTGGCAGGACCAAATACCAGGCTTCCCAAAGTTCCCTTTTCTCTTGCATCTCTGACCTTTGAGCTTTTGCTGCCTTGGTACCTCTTTAAAGTCTTTATATAGATTTTCTTTTTTTTAAATTTCAATAGGGTTTTGGGGAACAGGTGGTGGTTGGTTACATGGATAAGTTCTTTAGTGGTGCTTTCTGAGATTTTAGTGCAGCCATCACCTGAGCAGTGTACACTGCACCCAATGTGTAGACTTTTTTAAACTTTTAAACTAAAATCTTTATATAGATTTTTTAAAGGTCATTCATATTTTCTGATTGTTCTTGGCAGGAAG